GGGCAAGAGGAGACACAGTCCCCTGTCTGGGGAGGCTGGTAAGGGAGACAGGATGGGATCTACCACATCCCAGGTCCCGTCTTCATCTTCCCTTCACGCCCTTTGCAGTATTGGGGTGGCCGTTTTCTGTCTGTATGTGTTGCTCAGTCATATCTGACTCTTTGTGACCCCATGGACTGTAGTCCATCTACCAGTCTCCTCTGTCCTTGGGATTTTCCAGGCAAAAATACTGAAGTGGGTTGCCATTTCCTTCTCCAGGAAATCTTCCCGACCCAGGGATGGAACCCATGTCTCCTGCATTGGCAGGCAGATTCTTTTTACCACTGATCCATCTGGGAAGCCCTGCCCAGTTTTCCAGGTGAGAATTAAATTCTGAGAGATGATGGGCCAGGCATGGAGGTCTCTGAGCTGCATTTTTACTCACCTGTGAATTGGTCAGGAAAGTGTGTCCAATCAGAGACTCAGACCCCCAGGTTACCAAGAACATCTAGCTTGAATGTTCAAGAAAATTTTAAATTGCTTGTTAAATGAATTACATTTATATGGCTGTTGGTTTTATAACCAAATGTTTTGTTCAATTTACACAAATAATCTGTAGCTTTCTTTATGTTTTTGTTTCTACATCTGCGAGAATGATCAGTTTCGCACATTCGTGTGATTTCATGGCCTCCACAGGATCCATTGGCTCCCCATTCTCAGCATTCTGGGGTCCTATAAGCCTCCAGAGAAGGTTTGAGGGAGAGAAGGGTTAGAAAATCTAGTATAATCCAAGAGGGTATTTGCTGGGTGAGAGGAAAAGGGAATGCACAGAGAGGCAAGACCTGGGGACACTGAATCCACAAGGACTGCCTGGAGGAAGGGGTTTGAATTCCAGTCTTTCAAGGAAAAAAGGCTTGGGTAGACTCTTCCTGAGGAGTAGTAAAAGAAACCCAGGCTGACAGGAGGAAGGGCATCTGTGAGGAAAAGACCCTTCAGGCTGGAATGATTATGAGTGAAGGGAGACCATGGGTTGAGGGACCCTGGATCCCACACTGTGCATGTGACAGGGTGAGTGATAGACCATTGAGGGCTCTTGAGCCGGACAGAGTCTGAGCCATACCTGTCTGAGGAAGCAGAATCTAGCTGATGTAGGAGTGGGGTGGGGGAGGCTGGAGGTACTGAGAAAGGGGCAGGTGGTTCTCAGAGCGAATAATTGTCTCCAAAATTAGGGAGAATGAGCTAGGCTATTTGGATGACATCAGCTCCAGTCCTTCCAGCCCTGCTCAGCAGTTGAACTCTGGAAAAGGGCATGTTGTCTGTGAACTCCGCACAAGTACCCCTTTTATCCCCCTACATCCTCCTATAGTTTTAGGCAGGCAGAGCACTCAGTCCCAAGCCCAACAGTTGGAGCACAGTCCCTAGGGGACTTGGCCATGGTCAGAGCCATCCATCTGGGGGCAGGACAGCTGTTTAGCCGGTTTGCAGCTGGCAAGGCTGAAGGTGAGCTCATGCCAGAGGAACCAGGGTATAAAAGCCAAGGAGGACTGTCCTCCCAGACACTCAGCTCTGCTCCCACCCTGCTATTTGGTTTCCAGAGAAGTGCCTTCCAGGGCTGCCCTGTCCCCCTCACTTCCTCCTTGCTCAACTCCGTGGCCAAGACCATCTCCTTTGAGCTTTGCTGGTCATCTCCTTTCTCTAGCCCACCCCAAGCCTCTGGCAAGGTGTGTGGACTCAGGACTCTGTGCATCCAGGCCCTGGTCCCACCATGTGACCGTGGGTAGGTCTCCCAACATCCTAAGCCTCTGTTTCTACATCTCTAAGACAGGGGGTACTAATACCTGCTCTGCCTGCTCCCTGAGGTGGATGGGAGGCATCTTGTAAATAATAATGATGATGGTAATGATACTGGCGAACACTGTGTGGACTCTGCAGGGCACTGCTCTAAGCACTACATACATATTAACTCATTTAATTCTCACTGCAGTCCTGTGAGGCAAGTACTGTTATTATCCCCATTTTACAGATGAAGATACTGAGGCACAGGAAGTTAAGTAAATTCTTGGAAGTGGCACAGCTAGTGAGGAGTTGAACCAGGATTTGAGGTACGCTGCCTGGCTGCCATCTGTACTCTTCGCCTCTGCACTGTCCTGGCTTTCTTGTGTGCAAATGTCCAGTGTACATGCCCGCCCTGAGGCATGGTGTGAGAACCTGAGCTCACCAGCACCGACTCCTCGCACACTCTTCTTCCTGTCCCTGACTCTCCAAGCAGCAGATCTGACCCCTACTCCCCTTCTCCTGTTTTGCTCTTTTGAAGACAGTATAATTTCAGGACTTGGGTGGGGTGCTTATGAGACGATTGCATGTTTCTCACACGCATCATGCTCTCCCCTGATGACATGCTCTGGGCTGTTCTCCCAGGCTTCTCCCCAAGGCAGACTGGTCCTGTCCTTTAAGACAAACCAAAACGCCCCTCCTCTAAGAAACCTCCCTTGATGCCTCCCTAGGGCAGCCACAGCTGTCTGCACACAGCCCTATTGCCCAGGTGCCATGTGCATCCTTCCAGCCTACCAGGTACCCCCAAGGCTGGGTGATGCTCCCTACTCCTTGGCCCCAGTCTCCGGGCTTACAGTGTGAATTGTGAGCACTGCTCACCAGCTCACAGACATGTTCCCATAGGTGTCAGAGGCCATGTAGGGGCCCACATCTGCATACGGGTGGTCGTGAATACAAACTTAAGCAGAATGATGTCCAGCCAGTAGGGACCAGCATGGCTGTCTCAGTTTCCTGTGGCTAACACCTACTGTGATGGGTTAGTGTCTAATTAAACCAGTGGTTAAATATTTTGAGTCTCTTCCATAGGCTTGAGTCTGTGGGCTGATGAGCACATGTCTACACCTGTGTACCCAGGTTTCTGATGACAGTCCACCTGGCAACGAGCCCCGTCTTAGATTAGCTATCACTGTCAGACCTCCAAGTGTCCATTCCTCTCTGTTAGTGCACACACACGAGAGCCGATTGTCCTGTTTTTATTATATTCTTTTCTAAGAACAGAGAAAGTGGTGACTCCCAGCTTTTGAGTATAAGTAGGTCCCAGTTGTTCATTGTTTGTTTTATTTCCATAATTCTGGGAGATGGATCAAATAAGATATTGCTGCAATTTATGTCAGAAAGTGTTCTGCCTATGTTTTCCTTTAGGGGTTTTAGAGTGTCCGGTCTCACATATAGCTCATCAACAGTTTTCGTTTTCTATTATTTTTTTATTACAGCTATCCTAGTGGATGTGAAATGGTACCACTTTGTGGTTTGCAATTGCATTTCCTGGTGATTAATAATATTGAGAATCTTTTCATGTGCTTGTTGGCCATTTGTGTATCTTCTCTAAGAAAGGTCCATTAGATTCCTCTGCTCATTTTTAAATTATGTTGTCTTCTTGTTATTGAGATGTCAAAGTTCTTTATATGTTTTGGGTACTAGACCCTAATCAGATATGTGATTTGCAAATATTTTCTCTCATTCTGTAAATTATCTTCTCACTTTCTTGGTAATGCCTTTTGATGTGTAGAAATTTTTAATTTTGATGAAGTCCAATTTCTGTATGTTCTCTTTGGTTGCCTGGGCTTTTGATGCCATATCTAAGAATCTACTGCCAAATCTGTTCACCTCCCACCCACACCACCCACCAACCAACAAAACAAGTACACAAAACCTAAGCCAAAACTTACTGTGATGCTGTGATTTAAATTCTTTTTAAGAACCTATGCTCTCACTTTTCTAGTTATCTGATTAAACTCTCCTCCTCCTCCAGGAAGGCTTCCTTGCTTAGCTTCCCTGTTCTGATCACTTCTCAGCATTGCTGCACTGGGCTGCCCTTCCCTGATTTGTATGAGTGCGTGACTTTGTGTGTGTGTCTGTTTCTCCCATTGGTCTGAGTTCACCTCCAGAGCAGCCTCCAGGTTCCTGAAAGTCTTGTGCCCATGAGTGAGATGGAGTGTATCATCAGAGATGGGCAGTTTTGGAGACACTGAAACATTGACAGGCATGCACCTCGGACTTTACTCAAGGACAGTTTATTGAACATATGGCACAAATTCAGAATCCTCAGTCAAGGCCAGAAGGAACCAGGTGTCTCCGTCCTTTGGAATATTTACAAGAGCCAGGACTTCTGGGCTGGATGGTACCACCAGAGACAAAGCAAGCTTCCCTCACTGAACACAGCTCCTGGCATCAGGAATTGAGAATCAGAAGCTACTGCAGGACACAGACCCAGAGAGAGGCCCAGAGATAAACACATACCCACTGACAGAAAGGCAACTTAAGTCTGCTGCCCTCATCAAAATAATAGTGAATTTGACATTCCCTTCATTAAAGAGACAGTGGCGTGTAAAAGCACATGGGCCCTGGAATCAACCAGGCTCAACTCCTGACCCTAGCACCCAGGGAGTGAAGGGGGCAAGTTCCACAATAGCTCAGAGGATTGGTGGGGAGGGGTCTCTTCTGTCCCGAGGATGCTTATTGCATCTACTTTGCATGATTGGATGAGAATTAAAGGCAATAGATGTAGTTGGTGCTTAACATATAGGAGTTGCTACCACCTCCGGGTTGCAAAGTAAGCCTTCGGACAACTGCTGACTCCACCGAAGCATAGCGAAAACTATCCTGCCCTCCCTTGCCCTCTTCCTCTCTCTTTCTTCTCTCCTCTTCTCTCTCTCTAGGGATGTTCTTAGGGATGTTCCAGGGCCAAGAAGGTAATTATAGCTTGTGCCCATAAGCCTCCTAGAAGCTGAGGGCAGCAGGGAAAAACGAAGTCACAAAGTCCAGATGGGACCTGAAAACAGGAGAGGATGAGGCCAACCAGAACTTGACAGTGAGACAGGCCACAGTGCATGTGGGCGGCCACATGTACCACGGGTGGTCCTAGGGCTCTGGGGAGAGGAGGGGTGTGGCAGACATCTCCAGGTGAGGTGGCAGCGGCAAGAGCATCTTTTTCCAGGAGCTGAGAGAACCCTTAAAGCTGACGGGCTTTACCGGGCAGCTTTCCTGGCCCGGTCGCTGACTGGGGCGCTCTTGTCTTGGGAGTCCTTGGGGTCTCCCACTCGTGCCCCTTTAGCCCTAGTCTGCCCGCTTCTGGTGCTGCTGGAGCTGCTGGTCACTGTGCTGGTGATGGTGCTGGCCCCAAGGTCAGTGCTGGCCAAGGAGCCAGGGTGGGAGCCGAAGCTGCTTGCACTGCTGCTGATGACAGCTGTGGCGGAAGGGCCCAGAACAGGGGAAGAAGAATGACAGCATCACTCAGCAAGCCACCCCCTTCATCCCACAGTGACCCTCGGCAGTCAAAAAACTGCACAAGGATGGGTCAAGACCCAGCTGCACTGCAAGCTCTATGTGAGCTGAGGACAACCCAGGACAGAATGGTCCCTGCCCTCCTAGAGAGTCTAGGACTTTTTGTCTCACAGGTCCGTATTCTCAACCCTTTCTTGAGATGACGATGCCCAGAAGAGAGACACAGGAAGGAAATGAGGTTGGCATGACCTCATTCACTGATTCCCTGGGACAGAAGGCAAATAGGCTTCCTTTGAAGCCAGAGAACCTTTCTGAGACAGTACTAGGAGCCTGCAGATGAGGGGAGATGATGATTGGACGTGGTATCACATTATCTTGTGGTCCCCAGCTTTCCCATCCAGTCAGAATCCCCAGTTTGACCCGTCTCTCGGGGATACTCACAAATGCACACAGAGGAGGGATTCTCCCCAGACATCCTGCAAGACAGAAAGTTAGAGAAGGATGAAACCTCAGGAAAGTGTCTAGATTCGGCTGAGCCTTTAGATGGGTTCCTGCCTTTATATGCCTATCATTTGAATTCATCCTTAAAACAACCTCATTGTATGGAGGTTACAATCCTCATTTACAGATGAGCAAATAAATAATAAAATTTACAGACACCAGGACCACATAGCTGACATATGGCCAAGCAAGTGATGAGAGCCAGGTCTGTCTGACCCCACTGGCTCTTCTCACGCCACCACCCAAGGCCCAGCAGGGAGCCACCCACAGTTCCCCGCCCCCCGCCACCCCGCCCACTGGGGCATCTACCTTGCCCCGCTCACCGGCACTCCTCGCCCTCCAGCAGCTTGCGGTAGGTGGCGATCTCCATGTCCAAGGCCAGCTTCAGGCTCATGAGCTCCTGGTATTCACGCAGCATCCGAGCCAGCTCCTCCTTGGCCTGGTGCATGGCAGCTTCCAACTCATCCAGCTTGGCCCGGGCATCCTTCAGGGCACTGTCTCCCCACTGCTCGGCATCAGCGACGGCCGTCTCCAGGTTGGTACACTGGAAAGCAAAGGGCGATGGGAAGACCATCAGAACCCGGAATAATGTTTAGATCTTAACGGTTCGGTCCCAACCCCCTCACTTTACAGACAAGGTCCAAGGTGGGAGCAAGTAATTGCTGCAGACCCAACACAATATCTGAGTTGCGTCTATTTTCTTTTGTAGATGGATATTTAAAGGCCCATGAAAAGCTGTCAGAGCAGTTGCATTTCAGAACCACAAGAAGAGACTTGGATGTTTGCAAGTTGTCTAGTGCCTGAGGTTGAAACCAGTGACTGTCGGTTTCAAGTCCACCTTGTCCTGGAGAATCACACTGAGACCCCAACCCGGAGCCTCCAAGAATCCGACAGCGTGCCAAGGCACCTCTTTGATCAGACTCCTGCCTGCAGGATGTCTCCCAGCAGAGACCCTTCCTACCCGTTAGCACCCAACAGTGTACATCTCTGGACTATTCTAGCACTCTGCAGGGAGGGTCTATCTAAATGCTCCCCAAGTTTGGCCTGAATGGATTATGGAACAATATATGGAACAACAACAATGTATGTTGTTCCCATACAACAAGAGGTTAAGGGCCTGAGGTTATATCCATGACCTCAGACAGAGCATTTGGGCCCTGAAAAACATCCAGTGGCACTGTGATGACAAATACTACCAGGCGGAGAAACGGTCCTCATAGAGTTCGTGAATCAGCCACATGTTGAGTTGGAAAGCAGGCCCCATGTTCCCCACATCACCTGGCTTGGAAGGCTGTGGGGGTGCAGGAAGGAGAGCCAGCTCAGCTCTTCCAGGTTTGGCAATTCTATCACTGGGCAGAGTTGACCTGCCAGGGTCAATTGGGGAAGGATTCCCTACCCCCTTAAAATCATCTCCCCAAAGATATGGTGTTTTTCTGCTTTCAGACAAGACAGGGTTCCCCAGCTGGAAAGGCAATGGGTACAGGGCAGACAACCCAGAACATCTTCATCTGCTATCATCCTCACTGGTCACCCAGTGAGAGCAGTGAGAGGAGGACCTTAACTTGGCCACTGAGGGTCCCAAGGAGAGGCTCCCCAAACCCTACATGTGCTGAGTGTCCAGTGGGAGGAAGAGGTGTGGGGCCTGACCTTGGAGGGGCGTACCTGAAGGGGACATGGGGCGGATTTATTGCACACAGGAAAGGCCTGAGAAAAATGGAAAAAAGAAAGAGGAAACCTGAATTCTAATCCTAATAACCAACTGGACACCCTGGGAGAGTCCCTTCCTCTCTCCAGGCCAGTTTCCTTATGTGAACTGTGAGAGTCAGGTGAAATAAGTGCAAGGCCCCTCCAGTTCTGGGCAGGGTGCCAGCTCAGAGTGTACGGGTCCCAAGGTATGGCGAGGAAGAGGGACCATCGATGGTCCAGAGAGTCCCAAGTCAGGCAGGGGACATCCGCTTTTCAATCAAGGATGGGCTGCAGTCTCTCCATCACAGAGGGTGGAGCTCAGCCTCCGTGCTCTCTGTGGGCTTGCTGCCCACCTGCTTCTTCACATTTGCAATCTCACAGCGGATCCTCTGGATGAGCCGGTTCAGTTCCGACATCTCGTTCTTGGTGTGTTTGAGGTCATCCCCGTGCCGGCCGGCCGCCAGCTGCAGCTCCTGGATCTGGTTTCCAGAGACAGGAAGTTGGTGATGAAATAGGACTGCCCCCCCCCCCATATCCCCCACCACCCAAGGCAGAGAAAGTGTCCTGAGCAAACCCTTCCACACTGGAGCGAGCCAGGGAGATAGCTCTGCAGCAGAAGGTAATGGAGCCAGGACCTGGGTTATCCTTCCAGCTGTTTGGAGCTGATTCTGACCCAAAAGTCCACCTGTTTCTCTAAGCAAAAATCTATTTGCTGGGCCTCTTCTCCTTTCTCATCTCCCTGACTAATCTTTTCTGGGGGTGGATAAAGGGAAAATGAAGTTTGCATGTATTAAGCACGTCCAAAGTAAATAAGGCTTCCCTGGTGGCTCAGTTGGTAAAGAATCCACCTGCAATGCAGGAGACTGGGTTTGATCCCTGGGTGAGGAAGAGCCCCTGGAGAAGGGAATGACTACCAAATCTCGTATTCTTGCCTGGAAAATTCCATAGACAGAGGAGCCTGGAGGGCTACAGTCCATGGGGTATCAAAGAGTCGGACATGACTGAGTGAATACACTCATTTTCACTCTCCAAAATAGAAGAGCTCTGAACCTCTCCATTGATTTAGCACCTCTTTATAGAGGAATATTTTAAAGGCCAGGTTCTGTTCTAGGTACTGGGGATTCAGAGGTGAGCAGTACAGGTGAGGTCCCTGGTCCCTTGAAACTTAAATTCTCCTACAATCCTTTCTTAAAGATGGGTGAAGGGCCAGGGCTAAGGACTGCATGCATGTACCCTGGAGGTGGTGGGATTGTTGGCTCAGGACTTGTAGCTCAGATCCTCCCCTCACCCTTGGCCAGTCCTTCAGAAAAGAGAGGATGACACAGCCCTGGACAGGGAACAAGGAACCTGTGGTCCTTGCTGTTGGTGGGATTTAATGGCCAAGAAAGCTGGGAGGTATGAAGCCCCATAGGGAGCCCAGGTAAAGGGTCTTCTCAGTGAGAGCCTAGAAGGGTTTTGCTTCAAAGCATAACTGCCATCTCCCAGAATGCTCCTAGAATCCCACCTCTTCTTCTTGGAAGTCCTTCCACACTGATCAGAGGGAAGTTCATGGCATCCTCTTTTCACTCCCTATCCCACTACAGGTCACCCACAGCTACTCTCCTCCATATTTGTTACTCTCCTTCTTTCCCATGGTGACATGACCTAATCCCTGTTTTGTAGCAAGAGCACCTTGCTTCATTCCCCCATCAGAGGATGGCCTGTCCCTCTCTGTTGGAAATGCCTACCCAGTTTCATGGCTTGTCTTTGATAACAATTTTTGCTGAGAATTCTTTTTGAGTAGAATGTCACTATGGCATTGACTATAACACTTCTTTCATTTAACACATCTCCTAAGGGATGTCTCACATCCACTGGTGGAGGTGTCCCTTCCCAGGAAAGGAGACCCAGTCGGACCTCACCTCACTCTGGTACAGCGCCTCGGCCTCAGCCTTGCTCTTCAGGGCGATGTCCTCGTACTGGGCTCGAACCTCGGCAATGATGCCGTCCAAGTCTGGGTCACGGTTGTTGTCCATGGACAGGATGACAGAGGTCTCACTGGTGTGAGTCTGGATCTGGGCCACCTCCTGAGTTGACAGGTGAGGACAAAGTCAGGGTCCTTCCCCCACCTCCCTCCTCTGCCCATCAGACTTCTGGGTCTGTGGCGCCTGGCAGAATGGGCCAAAGTGGAGAGAAGAAATGCCTGCTGGAGCCGAGCAAAAGACTCACACAGCAGGGTACACACCATGTGGGTAGCAGGCCATGGGAGGCATTTCTTGGAATTCACAGTATCAGGAATCTGTGCTTCAGTAGGACCTCACGGGGTCATTTTTACCTGCCTGCTGCCAAGGTCATTATCACAGCCCCGATGGGATTTTTTCCTGTGAATGTGGTTTCTAGGAACCAGGATCCTACACTTCCATGGCCTCCCAGGGCAGGGTTTTGCACCTTCCCATCAAAACACCCTTAATTCTGTTTATCCTAAATTCTTTTATTCGCATCTCCCTGGAAAAGCCAGGGAATCTCTCTGCTGGAAAGAGGTGGGGTAGGGGAGGGAGAGGGGTGTCCTCACCGCATCATACAGACACTTAAGGAACTTGATATCTTTGTCCAGAGAGTCCACTTTGGCCTGGAGCTCCACCTTGACCATGTAGGCTGCATCTGCATCCTGCCAAGAGGCACCCAGAGCCATTGGTCAATATCACCCACATCCCACCAGGTGCCCTGTCCTTGCCCTCAAAGTCAACTAACTTCCTATCTTTTGCCTGCCAAGGGAAGCAGGTTGGTGAATAAAAACCCTCAATATTGTCTTTCTCTCCTATGCATCTTTGGGGATAAATAAAAAAGTGGGGACTGCTCTTTTTCTGTTGCCCCTGGAGAAAATGAAGCCCAGAGAAGTAGAGTGAGTTTCCTCAAGTCACACAGGAAGGCTGAGCTGAGCCAGGGGGTTCCAATTCCCAGACCATGATTCTCTCCTATCTGTCTCCACCCATACCCTAGACTTGTGCCGCTCCACCTTGCTAGAGGCCAGAATATGACTCCATCCCCACTCAGGTACCAGCCCCTCCCCAGAAAGCCAGGGCTGGAGTCCCGAGCAGGGTTGGTTAGGATGGGGATTCAAGAGAATCGGAGTCTCTCTTACCTTTTTGAGCACCACAAAATCGTTCTCGGCTGCTGTGCGCTGATTAATCTCCACCTCATACCTGTGGGCAAAGAGAGAAGATAGCAGGGGTCTCAGTCCCCTTGGCCAGGTGACCCCCTCATCACACTGACCAGGCAAGTGCTGGGGATACAAAGTCTCCACAGGATCTGCTGGAGCACTGCAGGGGCTGGGGCTGGCAGTCCTGTGTCCCTAAATGGCCTCATTAACCTTCCATTCTCTGGACCCTAGGAAAATATCTAGGTGCCCCAAACCAGTCGCTGAACCCATTGGTGGATCAATGAGCAAAGAAACTCCTTCCCATCAACCAGGTAGGAAGTTCTCATCAAATAGGGGTGGTCCTTCCTTCACACTCAGAGGAGGGGTGTGAGCCCTTGACCCTGGTGCTTGCTCCCTCCCCTCCTAAAAAGTGGCACAGAGATTGGATGATCCGAGGAGCCTCTGCAAACATGACCCACGACCTTGGCTGGGCCCACTCACCTCTTCTTATAGTCCTCCACCAGGTCCCGCATGCCCTTCAGCTCCAAGTCCAGCCTCACCCGGTCCCCGGACAGCATTTCCAGCTGCTTGCACAGGTTGCCAATGTAGCCCTCGAGGATGGGCTCCAGGTTTTTCCTACAGTTGTTCAGGTCCAGCTTCTGCAACAGCTCCCACTTGGTCCTCAGCACCTGGTTCTGCTGCTCCAGGAACCTCACCTGGAATCAGATTGGTGCTACCAAGTCTCGTCGAAAAACACCATTGACCCTACCAGGTTATACAGATTTTTTTTAAAAGACATTTAGCTCCAGTCCTGACTCCCCACTCATGGAATTCCATGCAAACAAGACCCTTTACAAGGGTTCAATCTGTAGCCTTTCAGGCAAAACTAGTCACTGAAAACTCATTGAAGAAGGAGATTCCACAGCCGGCTTCTGTTGCCTGACCCAGCCCCAGGAGATGTTCTTCTGTCTCAGCTAAGTGTTTCTTCTGTACCATGAGTCCTTCCCTCTGCATAGTGCTGATTCTATCAGCCCTCCATCTACCTTGAAGGACTGGAGGTGCATCCAGCTGACCTCCAGATTCCCATCAATTCTTCCTCAAGGTAGGGCTACCCTTTACCAAAATTTCCACCCTTCTCTGTAAAAGAAAGCAACACATTCATTCATTCCTTCGTGCTACCTAGCTCACAGGTCGTGCTATGATCACAGAGCCCTTCATGAGGTCCAGCAGGAGCCTTTCCATCCACAATGCCCTGTGCACCACCAGGCAGAAAGGGATCACCCACATCTCACTGGACTGTCTCATCCACCTGGGAGACCCACCTTGTCAATAAAGGAGGCAAACTTGTTGTTCAGTGCCATGATCTGCTCCCGTTCCTGGGTGCGCACCTTCTGGATCTCCGGGTCCAGTTCCACATTGAGAGGAACCAGGAGACTCTTGTTGACGGTGACCTGGTGGATGCTCCCAGGTGGGCACATGGATGGCCACACAGGCCCCAGGACCACACTGCCAAACATACTGCTGGCAAAGCCGCTGGCCTGGCCCCCTCCATACCCAGAGCCAAGCCTGAAGTTGTAACCTCCAGTCCGAACACTGCTGCCAGCCACCTTGCGGGGAATACAGAGATCCCCTCTACAGAGATTGTAGAGGCTTCGGCTTCCGAAGGCAGCACCAGCTCCTTTGCTGGGTGCACGGTAAGAAGCCGCGCTGCCCCCAACCTTCCTCAGCACCACTGCCGAGTGCCCACTGAAGCCCCCCTTGTCACCACCAGACTTGATATTCAGTTGCCGGCTCATGGTGGCAGAGATGGAGGTGGCAGAGCTGGAGTAAAGCAGTCACCAATGGAGAGAGAACTTTTGATGGGGCTCCCAGAGCACTGCTCCTTTTTATCCTGTCCATCCCTGAACACCGGAAAAGGGTGTTGCTCCTGTCTCCTTTCTTCCTGCCGAATGCCCTGAGGCCATGGGCAGTTTGTGGAACAGACATCTCCAAGCCCTTTGCAGCAACAAAGTGCTTCTGATAGTGAGCAGAATACGCTGCCCTTGCAGACTGGAGTGGTCTAATCAGGCGTTTATCTGTGCTCCTAATTAGGGACCTGGAGAGTTATCCCCTTCAGAGATCTCCTAGCTTAATTTTTTCCAGGGCTGCCTCTTTCTTGCTTATCTATCAGTAAGGAGCAGGGGAAATGCCCGGCTTTGTCCAGAGAAAGCTCATCAGAAAACCCCAGGTTTCCACCCTAGAGAACCTACCTCTCTCTTTGCTGGTCCTATTGAGGAGTTGGGGTGTTTGCACCAGAGAAGACGAAATTCAGAAAGGATGTGATGCATGTCTTCAAAGATCTAAGTCCAAGAAAGAAGTTCCAGGGCTCATTCTCTGGGTCACTGTAAGGACCACAGCTGTCTAGTAATGGAACGGACCCCAGGAAGGTAGTGGAAACGACCATGTCGAGTCTGCATGCCACCCAGCAGGGGACTGTCTGGACATTTCTGTACTGGGCAGGGACTGGGTGGTGATTACCTCGACGTTGCTTTCTCAACAGACAGAATCTTTTCAGGTGGCTGGTAGTTTCTGCAGCTGAATTTTTTCTCCTGGACAAGGTTATCTGCCGCATCCTAGGAGATGAGCCATGAAGCAGGCTTGGAGGTGGGCCATTGACTCCCCTGGGGAGAATGTCTCCCCTAGCACTCCCTGGGGACATGCTCCAAGTCCAGTGACCAAGGCACTGGAGCCCATGGGTCTCGCTCCTGGAATCAAGGTAACTGTTTTGCTCCTTTCTTGATCACTTTAGGAAGCCATTCAATTTTGGGTCAGGTGAGACCAGATTTTTGTAGCTCAGGGAGCCCTGATGGAGATAAATGTTTAAAAATTACTGCAAAAACAGACATCTCCTAGCTCTGACTCTGACCACTTTTTCAGTAATGAGATTCGGGAGCCTTGGCTCATTTGAAGCCAGTGATAGTAGACAGCTGCTCCACAGCTGGGAAGGGGGAGTGCATGAGCGGGACAGCGGGATGTGCATAGCCCTGAACGGCTTCCTCTGAGGGTTTCCTCTCACGAAGTTCTCTGCACAGCCCCAGAGGCAGAGGTGGAAGTTTCTCCAAGGTCCCTGTCTCCCATCCTTTTTGGCAGGGCCTAGCCCTAGGGCATGTGTGCTAAGTCATAATTGAAGTGGTTTCTTGTGGTTTTCCAAACCAGATTGCAAGTGCTACTGAATGAATGTCAACAAATTGTGTAAACCCCTTGACCAGAGGTGGCTATCCTCTGGTCCCAGCTCCCAAGAAGCCTGCAAACCAGTGAGAGGAATCTATGCAAAGAACTTAACCTTCGGTTAAAGCTCTGGAATAAGAGAAGTTGGGAACAAAAGATTGTAGGTGTGCTGGGGAGTTAAGGACCTCTGGAAGGCTGGGCTTCAATTACTTGTGGCAGGGTGGTGGACTAGGAGCTCCCAGGCAGCGCCGGTGGCGGGGGGGTGGGGGGTGGGGGGTGGGGGGGGGGTTGAGATATTAATCTCAATAATGGTAGCAGTGGTGGCAGCAGCAGTATCTGTTGTGGTAACAGAAAGAATCAATGTTGATTGGTCACATCACATGTGCCAGACATTGTGTGAACACTACAAGAATTCTTAATGTAATCCTCATGTTACTGAATTCACCCTACAGTTGAAGACTGAGGATTATGGACCCTAAGAAACTTGCCCAAATTCACTCAGCTAGCAAGTCAGAGCTGGATCTGGAATTCCAGTGTGTCTGGTTTCAAAGTCCATATTCCTAACCATCACCATCCTGTTATGTGATGGAGATGAGAGTTAGAGCCATAGATGCAAGACTTTCTGATGCACAAGGCATGTGGAGCAGCTACGGCTCTGAGTTCCTCCTACTCATGTTTCTATATGTTGTTGAGATGAGCAGATGACATGAGAGGAAGGGGAGGTTGTCCCTGAAATGGGCGCTTATGTAAGGTGTTTGCTCTAGATCAGACATCACTCTGAGGTTGAAAGAGAAAGTCAGCCAAAATAGGGGTGGGCGGAGGGAGGAAAAGACTCACTTTCGTGGGGGCTATTTTATTCTACAATGTCCAGTAGCTGGGCCTTCACTGAGAGGCTCCAACTGGGAAATCAGCATGACTCTGGGGATCTGACTTTTCCTGGGCCAAGTGTGCACCTACACTGCCTGGTGAAGTATGAGCCCTAATCTGTTAGGGGCGCTGGACCTCAACAAAAGATAATTTACAGGAAAGGCACAAGACTAGGTCTTCAAAGCTGGAGAAGATTTAGAAGAGATCAAAAGCAGAGTTTCAGGTGCCCAGGAAAATGCTACAGAATGAACTGGGCCCCTCCATGCTCAGAAGTGACAGGCTGGGGAGAGCCAGGGGTAGGGCTTGGGGTCCCCGCACTCTCTGTATTCATTCCACAAGCAATCAATGAGTGCTGGCGTGGGCCTGGCCCAGTGCTGGGGGCTGAGCAGTAAGAGTCTAGTGATGGCGATGATGGTGATGGCCGTGGCAGTGGTGGCTGCAACACGGAAGAGGAGGAGGCAGAGGGGAATTTCCTGACGACAGTGTGGCGGTTGTGGCCAAGCACAGGGGCCCCTCCCAGGAAATTTAATTGCAGAGAATTGCCTTTGCTACACAGTAGGATCTCTGACAGTTCCAATCTTCACCATGCGGGCTACCCTCTAATTACTCATCATAGTCCACACCCCAATCTTGAGTTCACGGGACTAATGAGTGTCCCAAGGCTTGAAGAGATTGGTTCATTCAATAAGTAGAAAATTGAGCGCTGCTCAGTGAATTGCTCTAAGCTAAGCTAGACATCGAAAGAGAAACAGGTAAGACCTTCTCCTTCCTTCTAAGAAATTGAAATTGAACAGGAGGAGACAGAATACAAGCACATGAAAGTTGTTTTGCTGTTATTGGTATAGTTTAATTCCTTGTGTTTAAATGAGTAATTCAGATAAGCTTTTACTGAAATTCTGCTTTTAAAAATAAATCAGAATAAAATATATTGGTCTTCCTGAGTTGGGGGTTGGGAATGGGAAGGTGAATAGATGCACAAGTATCCAAGAGGCAGTGAGTAGCCCAGGTGGACTGCAGGGGAAAGTTTGACTTGGGAAGCAGAAGTTGCTAGGACAAAAATGACAAAACAGGCCAAGGTATTTCCCTTCTCCCTGAGGATAGTGTGGAATCATGTGAGGGTCCTCAAGGGAAGAAACCTCACAGAGTGTGTGCTTTAGATTAAAGAACAGGCTCTGGCTTGCATGAGGAGAACTATGCGGGGGAGACAGGTACCCCAGGGAGACTGGAAGGAGCTGAGCCCATGTGCCCCGTAATCTCCCGCCATCTTGGTTGAAGCTGCTCCTGGAGGGGAGAGGTCTTGCAGAGCATTCCACAGTGGAGGAGAGTAGAAAGCAGTGCCACAAATAATCCCAAATGGACATAACTGAGGTCATGTCAAATTGGTTTGAGAATGGATGTCAAAGGTCTTTTTTCTCTAATCCATTGTCCATTTGACTATTCCTAGACATAGTCAAGGAAGCCAGCATTCGTAGAAGGTAATTAATGGGGAGAAGAATAAGCTTGACGGATTCTTGAAGGAAGCTTGATGGGTAATAAAACTTGGGGCAAACCGCAGCACCTCGGAATGGAAAGGACAGGAAGCTGAGTTCTCTGCTTTCCTTTCGAAAATGAGTCAGGGCAGAAACCAAATACTCTCAGCCTGTCTGAACCAGTTTGAAATGAGGCTGTTTTTCCATCCTCATCCGAAGTTAACTAGAACAAGGAAGAGAGTTCACCTGCTTTTCTCCTTCTCTCCCCTTACCCTCTCCCAACACCCTTCCCCTTCCTGACATGAAATTCCCTGGGTCTTAGTGTATCAAGTCCAACAGCAGATGGGACTGAAGCTTGGGTCAAGCTCACTGCTGCAGTCTGGGGACCTGGGCACCTGGCTGGGGTACAGTGGGTGCAAGAGGATGTTCAGAGACTGAAGCCAAAAGTCCCGTGTTTGTAAGGTGGGAAAGGGGAAACTCTGGGCACAAAAGATGAGGGCCAGCACCCCAGGCCAGATGACTGAAGCAGCTAAAGACCATTTTGTAGGGTGACCAGCTCTTCCAGTTTGCCCAGGACTGAGGAGTTTTCTAAGTGGGATATGGGACTTTCTATGTTACAACTTGGACTGTTCTGGAAAATCTGGACAGTTGATTGCCTGACCATCACCCACCACACCACAGAGTAAAGAGTATCAAATTCTCCAGTAGTTTAGGGGGGTCCCTGAAGTTGGAACATCTCTCCAAGTCTGAAACTGACATAGTCAAGCAATTCACTGGCTTCTCGCCATCCCCACTGTTCCCTTGCCTCCTGCCCCCAACACACACCTGTTAACATGAATTTCCCAGATTATTAAGAAAACAGATAGCTGGATGGCACCAATATAAATTCAATTCCACTGTCATGTATTCAAGTCCTGTTATAAGGCACTGTATTGAGTGAAAACCCAGACAGGCAGTCAAAGGGGTCAAAATCTCTGCTGCTTAGTGCCACATAAGTATAAAGGACATTGTGCAGTAAGCTTCTGTTTATTAAAACTTAGCAGAGGCTATTCAGTGACCTGAAATCTGGCAGCAGCTTCCTTATCACAGGTGGTCTCATAGAACTTTCTACCCATCTCTCCACACGCCCCATCTCTGAGTCTGAGGTTTTCCCTGTGACTTCTCAGCACAAGTGTCTCCTTCCTTCTCTCTGAGGTCCAGCTCAGGAGACAAATGTCGGAGCAGTTTAGCCAAGTGGCTGCAGTGCCTTTAAG